AAGCATTGTCACCTCAAATGGATCCAGGCTGCTTATCATAAAAAATGGATTGATAGGCTAGCCATTTGGATCTAAATCCCAAACGCTGCCCATACACCCAAGCTACTTTGCATAATGCAGGATTGGAGAAGCCTTTGGCTTGGCAGCACCCACCTTTAGAAACAACAGAGTGGTTAGGAGCCAGTCTCTAGAACGAGACTCCCCAAGTTCAAATGCACCTCTGTGAATCACAACCGTACAAATTTGAACAAATTGCCTATCATCTGTTTCAGTTGCCTCATCTGTACCATGGGACTAAAAACGTTCCCGACCTTTTAGGGTCCTTGTGGAGATCAAATGAGTCAATATGCAGAAAGTGCAAGAACAGTGGCTGGCATGTAGTAAGTGCTATCACAGTGCTGGTGAAACCAAGAACTTTGCAGTCTCTTCCACCTTTCCCCAGCCCAGTCTCCTGTCTTCATTAATTCGAGAATCCTAAGGTCCCTCCTTCTGCTTTTGTCCAGAGGGGTAAGTGAGTGAGTGGGTTGGAGTGGCAACAAGTCAGTTCTCCTTTGAGTTGCTAGAGCTGGACCACCGCCCCCTTTGTTGTTCGTTTTCATTTTCTGAGCATCACAAAATGTAATATTCATATGTCAAAGGATTTAGGATTGTATTTTAACATTTTACAGCCTCTCTGTAAAGCTACCTTTTCAATTTTAGAGGAGGCAGTTTTATGGCTCCCTTTGATAACCACTTAACTGTTAAGACCCAAACAAAGAACAGGAATGGTCAAAGGATATCAGGTACTCCCAGCCAGCAAGAGTCCTACTTCTTGAACATTATTCAAATTAGCTCCCGGGCTCATAATCTGTGTTTTCATTTATTGCTGCAGTAAAGTAAATGGTTATTTTATCCAAATGTTATTTCCTGGCTATTAATTCAGTGGTTATTTGGGATTGTAGTACCCCTCTTTGATTTAAGAATATGGTGCCTTATAAATATTAAAAGTTGAATGCTGACACTTGGAGAAATCGCCTTTGATTTGTTTTGTTAATATCCTATGGCTAGAGTAATTATCACTTTGGAAGACACGGTCCCATTCTCTACTTATCAGAAGAGACGGGGAGCTTGTGTGTCCATGACAAGGGAAATGGCAACAGAAGATTCTTCCCAGAGTTTTTGCAGACTAGACCTTGGTGCTTGCCTCCTCAGGATACACACACTGCTCTTTATTCTTCAGAAACTGCCCTTGAATTGAGGAATGTAGATAAAGACAATCTATACATCTCAAAATAGCTGAAAATGGTCATTTCTGAAGGATTGGGACTTCCTCTGCATCTACGAGTGCCGGCAAAGGTTTACAACAGGGCTCGGGGTAATCTATAGACTGGTATGATTTAAATGTGGATCAATCAACCTATTAGGGGGAAAGAGACAAGGTCAATAAGGATGGGTCTTGGTGAACCAGAGGTCTTCCTACATTTTTCAACCTAATGTTCTTATTTCCTTTCCATTAACATTTCATAATGAAAAAATGCCTATATTCTTTAATTTTTAAGATAATTAAGTGAATTTAGTGCCTTTGAAGGGTGGAGGATTTATAATGGCATCAGGGGATACACTATTAATAATCGTTAAGACAGGGGCCACCTCAAGAGCAGCAAGGCAGTTTCCATCGCTATTTCTGCTCCTTGGCGACAGAGAGTTAGACCTCCGTTGACAATTCAGAAGCAGGCTCTTCTCCTGAGACCAGAAGACTTGTGTCTTTTGGGACAGGGCTTCTACCCTCTTGGGAAGTGGTTTTCCATATTCGAGCTTGAATGTGAACAAATCACAACGAGCACAGATCATTCTTAAGTGCATGGCATTCTCTGTATGCAAAGCCCTGAAATGTGATGGGCTTTTGGAACTTCCCTAAGGGAAAGAAACATGGCATCTGCCTCTGAGATTATTACAGCCTAATAAGCGAGGTTGGGATTGACACAAGTGAACACTTAGGGGCACATAACAAGAGAAAGAGGTCTACATGGTCGCAGCCAGGCCTATGCACAAAGAAATAAAGGAACTAAAGACCAAAGGCTGGCTTACCTCTGAGTTCTCCAAGCTGGTCATTGAAGTCTTCATTTAATAAAGATAAGTAAACTTTGGAGGGAGAAGAAAATGTCAAGTAGAATTATCATTAACATCCTCAAAGAAGTAAGAGAGGGTATATTGCATCCATGAAACAAAATTAGAATGCTATTTAAAAAATTACAAAGGAATATCCAGACAAGAAAAGAAGAGCTCTTAGAAATAAAAACTATGATAATAAATATCAAATATAAGGAGAGAGGATATTTCTCAGAAAATAGAGCAAAAAGAAAAAGAAATGGAATGTAGGAGAAAGAAAAAAGAAAAGAAACCCCATTCTAAAGATCAAATAAAAGCAATTCCAGAAAAATAAAAGAGGGAAAGATTTCATCAAAGAGAGTATTTTTAATTTTTTACTAAAATTAAAGGACATGATTTTCTTGATTAAAGGCTCACAAAGAATCTATGATTATAGGTAAAAATGCACTCACACCTAGGTACATTTTCATGACACTTAAGAACTCTGGAAGCAAAAAAGAAGATCCTACAAAAATGGTCCCGGAGAGGGAGTCATTTTCAAAGAATTAGGACTCCGAAGAGCTTCTGACTATTAGATGTTCAGTAGTTACATCTAAAGCTAAAAGAGCAATGCCTTCCGAATCTAATGGAATTATTTCCAACCTAGAAATCTGTTATCTATACAAATTACCAATCAAATGTGACAATAATATGAAAACAATTCAGACATGCAAGTTTTCGCAAATTTTCCTACCATACACTTTTTCTTGGGAAGCTGTTGGAAGATGTGTCTCACCATAATGAGGAGAGAAACCAGAAAAGGAAAAAGATTTTGGGGAGTAAGAAGGGAGATAGATACAGTGCAAGACAGCTTAATCTTCTTCAGTGTTAGGAAGTTAATAGATAATGCTTAAAGCAGAAAATCATTAAAATATAAAATTGCAAGCATCTAACTTTGCCAAATATAAACAAACAAACAAACAAAAAATGTATCTGGATGGTTTGAAAATGGTTGCTTCTAGGTAAGGGGAAATTTTGGTACCAGAAAAGTTCTGCTACCATGTGTGTGTGTGTATGTGTGTGTCCAGCCTTGTAAATCTAACTTACTCTTAAAACTATGTACATATATAACTTTGATTTTAAAATATTTTTAAGTAAAAAATAAAGTAGTGAAATGCTTAGCATAAGACCAGGAACTCGGAATAAGGACATGCACACAAAGACTTTTTACCACCACCATATTTGAATTTCACAAGCCTTACCTTCTTAATTCTAAGGAGGTAGATTCTACAAACATGTTAATATATTATAATGATTCACTGAAGGGTAAGCTGATTGATTTTTGTTTAATGAACATAAACAATCTACAGAATGTAACTTGTCCTGTGTAATTCATGTACTTGCTCATTGGTCTTCCATGGCGTGAGAGCTAAACAGTGTTCTGATTTTAGCCTAGAGACGTAAATGCCTGTGGAGGAGTGTGGAGGTAGGAAGAAGGTTGATTATATGGTTCCTGGGATGCTTAGAGTGACCAGAGTTGAGTTTCATTGCTCAACCAAAGTAGTCCCAGGGTATAAATTACTCCCTGGGTAATTTACACCCAATGAGTAGCATAGAGTAAGAATACAGAATGGTCCCTGATGATCTGAAAACAGAAATGATTCCTTTACCGAGAGTGGCCCAAAGGATATGGAAAACCCAATGAAATCAGCAAAAAAAAAGAAAAAAAAACAAACACACAAAACAAAAACAAAAACAAAAAACTATTCCCAAAGAGTTTCTTCTTCTCTTAAAGTTTGTATAGGAAAACTGATTGACAGTTGCCTAACATGAGTGTTTTGAAAACACTGAATACAGTCAGCCCTCCATATCCACGAGTTCTACATCTGAGGATTCCAACCAGCAGCAGATCGAAAATATTCGGAAAAAATTTACCTTGTTGCTGATGTGTACTATGTGGTTAGGCCTAAGATGGTTGCATCTGTACTGAACATGTGCAGACCTTTTTCTTGTCATTATTCCCTAAACAATACAGTATGACAACTGTTTACATAGAATTTACAATGTATTACATTACATTACATTACATTATATGTAATCTAGGGATGTTTTAAAGTATACAGGAGGATGTGGATAGTTTATACCCAAGTACTAAGCCATTTTAATATAAGGAACTTGAGCATCCTTGGATTTCAGTATCCACTGTGGTACTGAAACCAATCTCCCGTGGATACGGAGGGACGACTGTATGTATGACCAGTATTGTAATTAAGTTGTGATCTATATAGAGAATGAAGATGACCAATATTGCAAAGTCATTCCTTTAATGAAACATATGCTTATGTTAACCCTACAAATATCTGTTTTATTGAGAAAACATATTTTGTACAAAAGATGCTCTGTCTGATCCTTTCCATCCTTCCCAATATACGAAACGTGTGTAACAAAGAGTACATGCACAGCTACAGGATATAAGAAACATAATATAAATATAAGATATAAGAAACAAGACAAAGTGGTATATTCCCATGTCCTTCTCCTGAATAGCAGCAATTAAAATCCACAGCTGCTGGCTGCCCAGATGTTTCTTGCATTTAGTGCTCTGTAGTATGCACCAGAATATATTATGTGACTGTGGTTTCAGTAAACTAGACAGCATTGTATCCTAATTCAGCAGACTTGATCCAGTGTGTATATTTTTTCTTCAGATTAGTTTCCCTCTCCCTCCCCACCCCCACCACCCTTCATTTGCTTGGGGCATCTGCACCGCAGAAACAAAAGACATTTCCAGCTCAGAGTTTAGCTGTATCAGAGTGTAAGTGTAGGTCAGGTCTGATTTATGTGGCACGTCTGATAAGCAGGAGAGGAGAGTAAGACGAGTGGTTTGAGAAAGCTGGTGAACTTGGCTTGACTTATGCCTTCTGTTTTTATAGGCAGCCAACATCCCTTTGGTGTCAGAACTTGCCATCGATGACATACATTTTGACGACTTTTCTCTTGACGTTGATGCCATGATCACGGCTGCTCTTCGGATGTTCATGGAGCTGGGGATGGTACAGAAATTTAAAATTGACTATGAGGTAAGATGTTATGTCTTGGGTAATTCTGGGAATGCACCTGGGACAACGTGGTAGCCACTCTGAGTTTCAGGTTCTCAAATATAAATTAGGGATGATAATACTTGCCCTGCACACCTCATGAGATTACTGTAAAAATTGCATGAGATGTTCGTGGAAGGACTTTGATTGTTGAGGGTTACTCAGACATAAGGCATCGTTTTGGTAATGGTCCACCAGAGACACATACAACTGCCTGACACGACCTTTCCCTCCCATTTCAGACACTGTGTAGGTGGCTTTTAACTGTGAGGAAAAATTATCGAATGGTTCTGTACCACAACTGGAGACACGCCTTCAACGTGTGCCAACTGATGTTTGCGATGTTAACTGTAAGTGTGTTTGGTGATAGTGAAAGGTCATCTGTCATTTGTGTGGACCTATAGGCCTTTTCCTTCGCGTTTCCATGTCTGTGACAAATTGCCATGTGATTTATTTCACACTGGAATTTACCTACCCTGGTTATGGGAGTATATATTTCACAACAATGTCTGAGCTTTCAAGCTGTACCATCACTGACATCTTGAAGCAGGTGTAGTCTGGAATGATTGCTTGGGCCTCTTTTTCAGTGTTTTATCTTGGGAAACTGGTTTCTTTACAAAAGAAATGCGTGGATTTTCAAAGTAATATTTTTGCAGAAGATATGGGGTGAGTAACAACATAGAGATCACTCGATAAGACTCTCTAGGCTGGTGGAAAGCTAACATAGGGATGTGTGAACATCACCCACAGGGGCGCGGAAATCACATGGCAATTTGTCACAGACATGGAAACGTGAAGACTATTAGGATATTTCACTGTTCTATTCTCATTGGTGATTCTATTTCATTATAGTTATATCATATTCTATTTCCTTGTGTCTATTAATCTGAAAAAAAAAAAAATCACCATATACCAACCAACCACTGGATTCAGCTCAAGTCACAAAGGCAAGAAAACATGGCACATGAACACAGGATTTCCTCTAGATGGCGCTCCAAGGCAAAATTTCCCTGCCAGTTGCCAGGAAAGAAGTGGGGAAAAAAACCTTAACAATCTTCCCTGAAAGTGCTTATTTTCTTCTAAGACAAGAGATACTGAAGCACACATGCCCATGCTCTTTTCTTAAAAGAGACACCAACAAAGTCAGTCTGTACAAAAAAGCCCCTCCTGCCAGATGGGACTTGCATTATGACTGCCTCCTTGCCCACCCAGCTGTTAGCATGAATAATAAGTCACTCTTTCAGAGACCTTACATCTGTGGTTATGTATTTTTCTAAGCCCATTGTCCCTGAGAATGGGAAAATGCATAGTTCAGTGTCATTGCTGAGGAAATTATGAAACCATGTACAACAGGACAAATTATAAATATATGCACCCGCTTCCTAACATTTAATCCCAAATAAAATCATTTCAAACACAGAACATAAACTTATTGATTGGGAATTATGTTTTACAAAAGTATTCAACTTTATGCCTGGGTTAGAAAGTAGTTTTTTGCCTTCAAAAATTAAAAAAAGAGAATGAACTGCTTTGTAGGAGAGGCAATTTTATATAAAATGGTGAAAATGTGGTTCACCAGGAACCCTGTTAATGACTTACTCATTTATTCCATGCCTCTGGCCTGAAAAATCCAGATTTTTTTAAATGAAATCTTCAACACTATTCTTTACTTCTAAAGAGATATTTAGGTAGCTAAAATTTACCAAATATTTTAAATTTCTTGGACAAATAATGCAGTGCCAGTTACTATTTGTGGTTAAAACAAGGGATAAAACCCTGTAGATGAAGAATAATACAAATTCTCTTTGTTTATGGAAGCTCATAAACTAAATATCTCATCAAGCACATACATAATGAAAAATGATAAACACATTTCTTATATGTGCTATGTAGACCAGATAAAGGAAATAACTATGCTTTTGTTTGTATTCTGTAAAAGAAAAGGTGCCCAGGTTGCAGAGACATTTTTCGGTTTTATAAATGATGTATGAGCACTGACAGATTTTCCAGGGGGGAAAAAAGGTTTCCTTAAGAGTCAGTATTCTTTACAATCCCATAAATGTACTCATTAGCACTTTGGGCCATGCCCTACATCCTGTAGAGCTCAATAAAGATTCATTGAATGAGTGAATTTAGTTAAGGGTAATATTATTCAGGGAACCATGTTGTTCAGTGTCCAGGTTTTAAAAAAAAAAAACCCTATAAAATGATGAACAACTATCACTGCTAGAAATCTGATTCTTTCTTCATATCACACTAAGGTTCAGCTAGGGTTCATATAGAATATTATGATCTTGCAGAATTCACTGGATATGAAAAGAGCACATGATCACATTAAAATTTATGGTGTTGCCGGCAGTGTGGTGCTGGTGGGGAATCGCAGTTAAACACTAATAATAACCAGTATCACGGCAAACACATTGACACCCCCTGACATTCACCTGGGGCTTCTTAAATCTTAAATGTGGAGGCAGTGTGTGTAAGTCCGTGTTTGTGTTGTCAACAAGGTTATTTTCAAAGATAAGCCAAGTTGTTTTAGTGAGAATTCAAACTAGAGAGCAGAAGGCACCTTTGGGAAGAAAAATCCATCCTATTCACCGGCTTAACGATAATGCACTGTCTGCATTCTGCCATTTTCAGGGAAGTCCTTGATTTTTGAGATAGAACATTTCTTCTGAAATATCTTAGAAGCACAATGGGAACTCTTTTTCTCCCATCTCAAGAAGGACAGAATCAGTTGAATTTTAAAATAAAATATATTTGCTCAATAGTCAAAATCCTAATTTCAACAGAAATTAATTTATTTGTAGATTGTAACATTGGAAGGTACAGAGATCTACATGTTTTGTTCTGTAATTGACTATAATAAAGTAACAATCAATAATCAAACGTCATTTTTACACTGCATTTCCTTATCAATGTAAATGATAACAAGCTATATTTACTTTTAAACAAATGGCAGCATTATCATAATACGACAAAATCTGCATATTAGGAAAACTAATTCTTTAATCTTCATGAAGATACACCTTAATTTCTAGTGTAACTTCAAAAATGCCAAATTTTTAATTTAGGAAAGGAGTGATTTTTAATGTTTTTGCAGAATACCACCACTGGGCACTATAACTATGGAGCGAATCAATTTGAATACAGTGTTAAAATTATATTTAAGACTCTTGCCTTTTAATCTTTTAAGAAGGTTTCTATTTTTATTCTCTCTGGCCACATCTCAGAGCCCCAGTTAGGCACTCCACGCTTCTAGCTGACGTTCCTTTTACCAGCATTTATTTCAAAAAAGGAAAAAGACAAAGCCACACATAATGAAGAACCCGGTGCTCTAATAACCAAACATACGATTGGGCGGGAGGATAATCCAATCCGTCTCCTCACACAGGAGAGTAACCTCCATAACTCACTTTAAGCGCTGCCGTTCGTGAGTTATGGGTCATTCCCCTTCTAGTGAAAATAAATTCTCCCGCACCATCAGCCAGAGCTGAGTATTTTTCTTAGGACATGTAAATTGTAAAAGTGTATGAGCATAATTATGTCCGGCGTTTCGAGGAAAGTCTCAGCTCCAGCTCACAGCGCAGGCTTGTGAGGAAATGTGTGTGGTTTGGGGACTGAGACTGCCTAGTCACGACATAGGATTTTCGATTAAAGGGAATTTATTCTTGAGATTTCTACGGTGTTGGTAAACTGCTTGATCTGTCGCTTTGTGTTTTATGGCGCCAGCCGAATCTGCCAGGTCATGGAGACCCAGCCAGCAGAGCACGATCGTGTATCACAGCCTCCACCTTCCACGGTTTTATGACTTAGCAGTGGCACTTTCTTGGGGCTGAAGTCTGGCTCCTAAGGGTGTCAAGTTGAGAGCTTTAGAAAGTTTCGATTTTTCATGAGTCTCGTGTTTAACGTCGGCTCAATCATGACTAATAAAAATTGGGGGAAGTTTTGAAAAGGCCTCATATTTTTGAAATTCATCCTGGCCTTGTGTGGCTCTTGGAAAGGGCTGTCTCCCTGCGCGGTTAGCGTCGGCCAAGTCACCTGCTTCGTTTTCTGTACTCACAAACTGTACGTTATATATTCAACTCACTAGTAATTTATCATAAAATATAAACTATATTTCTAAATAGGAACAAAACATACCATCTTTGTCCTCAAAAAAATTATGAAGCACATATATTCTTAATGTTGAAAGCTAACTCCTTAAGACTCTAATGTGCGTTTTCTTTTGCTTCTTTCTGAAATACAGTATGTATGCTACATACATAGAGCTGTGTTTATTGCATTATCTAAATTGAAGTAGAAACTTCGTTTTTTTTCCACATCTTATTAAGATATTTACCCTGAAATTTTTCACATACCATTTATATATCAAGATATGAGAACAGAGGTCTATCACCAATTTTTATTTGACCACATCAGGACTTCTTGAGAATGAAGTAAAGAGTATTGACAGATGTCAGAGGTTTGCTTCGAAATACTCTTGCAAACAAACAAAACAATGCTTGTGAAGATATAGATGGAACAAAACTGGCAAAACATGGATTCCTGTTGAAGTTAGGTAATGAACGAATGGAGGCTTGTTATAGTATTCTATTCTGTGTATGCTTTTAACTTTCCAAAATAAATATTGTTTTAATTATGATAACTAGTAGGTTAAAATTAAATCATGGAAATGGTTTAAAAATAACTTAATAAGGCCGATTAAAGTCAACTCAATTTTTTAATTCATGCACCATTTACTCAACATGTATAATTACACCAGACACACCATTAAGTTTTGCTGCCTTGCCTTTCTAAGACTTACATAGGCAAGCATTTGCAATATTATTTGAGGTTGAGAAACAAGGTAGGTCCAAAACATGACTTAGGTTTTATGATTTGATGACAAGTGCCTTCAGAAGCTTTCTGGTTGTAAAAGAAAGTACTGAAGTGTAGACTATGAGGTCTTTCCAACTCTGAGCTTGGTAAGGAGAGGATCATCGTAGACTTAAATCGATATTTAATTAATGCCAAGTCAATATTTGACTACATTCATCTTGAGAAGAAAAAGAAGCAAATTTGATATCAAAAGAAAAAAAAAAACGATCTCACTCCCGTGGATAATTAGACGAGCTTTACCTGCTTTGTGTTGTATTGCATGCTTTGGTGAAGGAGGCACAGAAACATGGTGCTGGATGATGGTCACCTGACTGCTAGAGAGGTTCTGGTGTCTGGACCACAAAATGGGACTGAAGCGCCTCTTTTTCAGCCTAGCAGACCCAGGTATTGGCAGACAAACATTACTGTAAACACCAAGAGGGTGTGACCATCAAATCTAGATGCTATGGTTTGTCCAGAGGGCTTTATT